TCCATATCCCTCCCCAATATCCCCCTGTGGTACCTCAGCCCCGGGAAAAGGAGACCCACATCCCGATGGAAGGTGGACCCCCCCACCACCACCAGGGGATGCATTAATCCCATCGTAAAGGTCCAAAAGTCACCGCAGATAACTACCTGGCTCCCGGTCAAGAACTAATTCCCCTTTCCGCGTCTTGGGGATCCAATCTTTAATTGCTCACCCTTAACAATGCAAAGCTGGGTTGTCTCAGGAAGTTAAAATTGAGGCGTAATGTAGTTTGGCTTGACGCAAGCTCTATCTTTCATTAAATTACCTTTTTTTTTTACCCCTTTCCTCAAGGCCTCTCAGTTGCCCCAGCACACGGCAGCCTCGTAGGCATTTATAACGGAGAGGAGTTCGTGTTCGAGGAGAGCAGCTGGTACATCGTCAACCTTCTCAAGCTCCTCTGGCACTACGGGCTCAACCCCCTGCGAATGTACATGTGGGTGGAGGACATCCTGGACAAGTTCATGCGGTACGTCGGACCCCTGTAAGGAAAAAGGTGGGAAAGCGGCTGCGGGAAAAGGCGTGAAACCTGCTGCCAAGTTTAAAAAAAAAATAAAAAAAAAAATCAGTGAAATCATCCCATCGCCATTGAGAAAGGAGTCTCCGGTTGCCCTCTCTCTGTTGCCAATGATTTTTCTAAGGAAAAAGATCGAGATAAGCGATAAGAGAATTAAATTCATAACTGTGCAAAAAGTGCTTTTGTTAGGAAAGATCAGTAAATGCATAATGAAGGTCCAGGTCTATTTAGGCAGGTACTGCTTAGGCTAGGGCTTGGCTCGAAGCACAAGCCCTGCTGCTCCCGCAAAGGGCTGCGAAGCTCTCGGGAGCTGCTCTGTGAGATCCTCCGCAGCTTCCGAGGGCAACAAAGAGAATTAACAGCGACTGAACACCTATTTCTTATCTCCGGTTAAAGGATCTATCGCTACCAGACACATGACTACGCCTTCAGCAGTAACGAGCGCCTGCTTCACGCCCTCGGAGGGAACGACTTCATCCGCATGCTGAACCAAACCATCGACGAAGCCATGCAGAAAGCGGGCTTCTCCCATAGGTTCATAAATGAGATGGTTTGTCCAGCCATGAGAGTCAATTACGGGCAAGGTGTCAACATCAATGGTTTCGTAGGTGAGCGTTTCGTGGGTTAACCTCCCACCACGTCTGTCCCACGGACCTTGTCCTCTTCACGCGTGTTGGGATTCCTGCTCCCTGGGCTGGTACCATGCGGCAGTACCTCCCATGCTGGGTTACCGCCTTACTCCGACAAAGTGCTGGCTAACGTGACCTGCTTAGCCCTGGCCTTCAGCAAGCTCTGTGCCCCAAAGGGATGGTTTTTTTCCCTCTAATTTTCCACTTTCTGTTTCAAACGCTCCCCTACAGAATGACGCCGAACAAGCCGCTCTAACGAATGTGGTTTCCTTGTAGGTGCCGTTTCTCTGGCAGGGGTGGAGTCGGGCCTTTGGTCGGTAAAAGGGGGGAACAAACTTGTCTGCACTGGCCTTATCTACGCCTCCAAAGCTGAAGTTATCCCTGGTACAGTTTTGTCTATAGAGCCAAAAATCAGACCCAGACCCACAGGTGAGTTGGGTTTGCTTTCCCTTTGGTGGGGAGGGGAATGGCAAGCTCCAGCAGCTGGAGACCGACGTTGGCCTCCGTCGCTGCTCAGCTGCAGCCCTTGGCAGACCGAAGCAACAGATTGGGTCTTCCTTGGTCTTTTAAGATTAAAACTGGGCCCTGCTCAAAGCCCCAGCTCACCGCGCTCCCTCAGCTAAGCTGGGACTAGTTTATAAAGCTACTTCAGCTTGCAAAAAGGCATAATCAGCCTAAAGGGGATGGCGTTTTAAAAGCCTAATGTGTTTGTCAGAGGAACAAAGGGGATTCCCTCCAGCCACAGAGTGGGATAACCGAGCTCTTCTCCCCAGGGGACCCGGTGAAGCTCTACCAGGTCACTTACAACACTACGTCGGGACTAACGGGGGATACGTATGACATCATTGTCATCGCTGCTCCATTGAGTCGCAAAATGGCCAACATCACCTTCAAGAACTTTGACCCTCCTGTCCCAGACTTCCCAAATCCTTACCACCAGACTGTCACGACGTTTGTGCACGGACGCTTAAACGCCTCCTTCTTTGGTTACCGGGACCCATCCGCCTTTCATTTCGGTGCCATCTTCACTACGGAGAATCCCAAATTGTTCATCAATAGCCTGGGGGTGGTGTCTCCCGTGGAAGACATGGGCGGCGAAGGAAAGCTGCCCTTGCAGTCAGCTGTCTGGAAGGTGTTTTCAAAGGAGGTGCTCACCAAAGAGCAGCTTAATTTGCTTTTCTCCTCCTACGACTCCGTCAAAGTGAAGAAGTGGTTGGCGTACCCCCACTACAGCCCCCCGGAGAAATGCCCTCCCATCATCCTCCACGACAAAATCTACTACCTGAACGGCATCGAGCGGGCCGCGAGCGCCATGGAGATGAGTGCCATCGCAGCCAAAAATGCCGCCCTGCTCGCTTACCACCGGTGGTACGGGAACGCTGACAGGATTGACCAGGAAGATTTGCACGAGAAGCTGAAAACGGAGCTTTGAGACCCGGGGAGCCCACGGCTGGGTGCTCGCAGGAGCGTCCGCACTACAACCTCCAGAGATATGGATCACGTAGTATAACCGTTTAGCCACAATTAAAGCTAATGAAAGAGGAACTCCTTGCTTAGTCCCTAAAAGGAGGCACCCAGCCAGCTCAAGACAGACTAGAACAGCAGTGAAAAGGCGGAGGAAGCTTCCCAAGGGAGCTGACCCTGCCTCAAATAAAATACTCCGTCTATCCCTGTGAGATCAAAAAAGAAGTTTTAAATGCCATATTGACCCCGAAAGTGCCCTCCACGGCAAGGAGTCTGCCAAACTCAGGATCTGCATCACTGTGATTAACCTGCGCACGTCGCTTTCCCTGTCTGGACATTGTTTCAGGCACGGAAAATCAACTTCTTGACTGTAAAACTCTCTGCCTCAGCTATTTTCTGAAGGGTGTATCAAGTAGTTATTCCTTGGGGTGGGACTAGCGCAGTGGAAATTGGGGCTGCGTTCGTAATTTGCCTCCAGAACAAGTACTGTAGTTTACAGGGGGGTGGCAGGGGGGAGTTGATCTGCTGGGAGCACACGAATTGCTGAAACAAGCAGTAAGCAAGCAAAACCACTGCTGTCCTTCGCTTTGTCAACGTCTGAAAGAGTTAATAATTTGGACGACCTGACCCTGCAGCGGGGCACCGCTAGGTTTGAGTAGGTAAAAACCCTTTTCGTGAGAACATTGTCTCTCTTAACCGTATCTAATAGCGCTGCGATACCTCGACTGTGTCTGAATATTGCCGTTGCAAATAAAAACTAATGCACCGTTTGGAAAGGAAGCCGGCGCCGTTGCCATGAGGTAGCGTACGGCTGTTCTGTGCTCAGCCACCCGACGGATCTCATCGTCCAGCCGCATCCTTGCTGCGCTGCTGTGGACGCAGCAGCGATAAAAAGCTAAAAGAGATGTTATTCTACTTACAGCTCGTGTTATTCCCCACCCCCCCCCCA